CACGCCCCCTCGGGCTCCAGCTTCGCGCCGGCTGCCTGGCCGAGGGTCGGCTACTTTCACGACCCCTGCTTCTTTCACCTCCGTAACAGAGTCGGCGGCATGTTCTGGGGGTGCACTGTATCGGGGCCTGGTTCCCCCCACATACACTTACCTTGTCCAGATACACTTCCGGGTCGAAGTGCGCCCCGTTGAGGTCTGTCGGGTCCAGGGGGTCCGACCCCGGGGGGCGCCCCGCCGCCTCCCCCTCCGAGAGGCCGTAGTAAGGAGGCACTTCCGGGAATCCTAAAGTGGTGGAAACGAGGTAGTCCTTCAGGTGAAACCTTCCCCCGCCGTCCTGGGTCCTTCCAGATTAGAGTTCCCCCGCATCTTTCCTCCTCGAGCGAAGAGGTTCCGAGAGAGCCCTGGTTCCCCCAGCTTCTCAGGTGGAGGGAAGGCAGGTAGTGGCTCCCGACCCCGCTCCCCGGCTCCCCCGCTTCCACGCTCCCCGGCTCCCCGGCTCCCCTGCTCTCCCCCCCCCCCCGAAGACAGGACCCGCTCTCTGTAGAGCCAGAGAGCTTGTGCCTGGCCTCCTGCCACTGCCTGGGTTCCATTGCCACCCCAATTCCCAAAATTGGGGTACATTCTTCACAGGGGAGTTGCGAGAGTTAAATGCACTTACAGTACGCCACTCGGAGCCTCTAGTGCAGCCTCTCGAAGCCTGGTTCTCTGACGTGCATCAGAATGACCTGTGGTGTGTTTTGAGACTGGGCTTCCCCCAGACCTAGCTCCTTTTTTTTTTTTTAATATCTTATTGATTTTTTACAGAGAGGAAGGGAGAGAGATAGAAACATCGATGAGAGAGAGACATCGATCAGCTGCCTCCTGCACATCTCCCACTGGGGATGTGCCCGCAACCCAGGTACATGCCCTTGTCCAGAATCGAACCTGGGACCTTTCAGTCCGCAGGCCGACGCTCTATCCACTGAGCCAAACCGGTTTCGGTGACCTAGCTCCTTTTTAAAAAGTCCCCAGGGAGTTCTGGTGCACTTACATATACTGTGTTTAGATATTAAGTGACTGATAGGATGTGCTGCTGAGTGAGGGGTCGAGTGGAGACTTGACTATAATTCTCAGGTTTGATTCTGGTAAAGGTGCCGGCCGGCTCACCAAGATGAGCTCAAGAGGACAGGGGGTGACTAGGAGTTCAAACTGAGACCTGCGGAGTTTGAATGGAACCGCGACCGTTTGGTGCAGGGGAGGACGCTCTGTTGGTATGGCGTGGTCCATGCACTGAGAGGTTGTAGGTTCAATTCCCAGTCAGCACAGCACATACGTCCAGTTTGCCAGCTCGATCCCCAGTAGGGAGCATGAAAGAGGCAGCCAATTGATGTTCCTCTCTCTCTAAAATAAACAAAAGCATATATATGTATATGTACATTTTAAATAGCATTGAGCTGGGAGCCCTCATATAAAAATGTTTATTTGTATTCAAAGGAGAACTGAGGTGCAAACAATTGTTTCAACAGTGGGACCATGGCTGGGCATTGGGTCGTCGCCCCTTTAACGTGTCAGGAGGGAGCTCTGAGGGGCTGTTGTGATTAGTGACACTGGGCAGCAAGCATGGATGGAGAGGTCAGGCTCTAACCCCACCCATTGGAGGCAGAAGACTTTGGGCCATGACCTGACCTGGGACCTAATGTCCCGGGCAGACGGGCAGGTGGCAATGGAGGTGGACAAGTTTAGCATTAAGTCCTCCCTCTTCTACTTTAGTTGCTGGGAACTTACATGTCCCTTTACACCATTTCTGGCCATTTTTCAGGCTTACTTTGTTGACAGTCTTGGAAAAATGTAATGATTTTTTTACAGAGAGGGAGAGGGATAGAGTTAGAAACATCGATGAGAGAGAAACATTGATCAGCTGCCTCCTGCACACCCCAACTGGGGATGTGCCCACAACCAAGGTACATGCCCTTGACTGGAATTGAACCTGGGAGCTTTCAGTCTGCAGGCCGACGCTCTATCCACTGAGCCAAACCAGTTAGGGCTTGGAGTTTTCGGTTTAAAAAATATATATTTTTATTGATTTCAGAGAGGAAGGGAGAAAGAAACATCAATAAGAATCATTGACTGGCTGCCTCCTGCATGCTCCACACTAGGTGCTGAGCCCACAACCCAGGCATGTGAGGAATTGAACCCATGATCTCCTGGTTCATAGACCAACGCTCAACCACTGAGCCACACTGGTCAGGGGAGTTTTTTCCTCTTACATGTAGGGAGGAAATGTTTTTTTCTTGGCTTCTAACTGTCCCTTCTCATTCCACAGCCACAGGTAGAATTAGATTGTAGCCTCAGTTCTGACTCCCTCACTCATCAGCTGTGAAAGCTTGAGCTAACAAGCCCTCTCTGTACCCCCGATTCGTGTGTAAAATAGAATTTATACCACCAGCCCCAGCTTTCTCATGGGACTCTTGGAACGAGAGATATGGGTGTGAAAATCTCTGAGTGCCAGAAGGTGGCAGAGGGGGAAGCTGGTCAGATCAGATCCCTGAACATGTGGGTAGAGGACTGAAAACCAGTTTTTCTTAGGGCCACACCTAAGGGGCATGGGGAAGGTCCCAGGACAGCCATGGAAGATCTGCCACCCCTCTCCTTCCCTTGGTTCTTCTCTGTTAGGTGTTGAAGCAAATACCTGGAGCTTGTGAGCCCAGGCCTCGCCTCACCTGGGACCCCCTCCCACCCCCTCTCCTGAGCTGCAGTTCTTCATCCGTAGCGTGCCCACACTAACGCCTCAGTGGAACTGTTGAGAGGACTCGGTGAGAAGACATGCAAAGTGTAGAGGTGGGATGATGTGGAGACGCTGTCCCTTCAACACAAGACCCTACTGATCTATACCTTTAGCCCACTGCCCCTCCACAATTCAGAGCGCCCCTGGCCACCCATGAAACTCCTGTATTGGCTGGAACCAGCCTGTGTTCTAGAATCTTGTCTCCTAAATGATCTCCTGGTTCTAGAATCCCACGGCTATTTGAGACGGCACACTCTAGAAGCAGAGGGGTCAGCTGCTCTTCCTGGGCGTCGTCTGCTCGCTCAAGCTCCACCGACCCGAGTCTGTGCTGCTGCCAGGATGCGATGGTGGGACCGTATTGCTGTGCTCTTCCTCCCGAAAGGCATGATCCTCACCGTGGCTGCACTACTGCTCTTCCTTATGCACCTGGGCATCTTTGCCAGTGACGTGTACAACTTCTGCTTCACCTACCATTACGACCGCATGAGCTTCCGCTACACAGTTGTCCTGATGGTAGGCCAGGGCAGGGGCTCAAGGGCTGGTTGGGGGAGGCCCAGGGGCTGATGGAAACCCCGGTTGTGCAGGGGGTCACTATCCCACTGGAGGGGGTCACTATCCCACTGGAGGGGGTCACTATCCCACTGGATGGGGCCTACAGTTTTCCAAGGTGATCAGCATCTGCTGGGCCGCCATGGGGTCACTCTACGCTGAGATGGAAGATTACAAGCTTGTTCGGAGCTTTGCCCTGACCATCCTGAGTGAGTGAGGGAATGGGGACCTTTGGAACCTTGACAAGTGGCAGGGAAGGCTGATGGGGGCTCTCTCCTCCACTCAGTGCTCAACGGAACCATGTTCTTCAACCGTCTGTCCCTGGAGTTTCTGGCCATGCAGTACCGGGAGGAGAGCCACTGAGGCTGGGGGACTGGGTTGAGAAGGGGGAAGGAAAAGGAGGCTTTGGGAATTTGAATAAAGTCTGCCATTTATTTCCACCTGTCAGCTCCCTCATGGGTTGGGGGTGGGAGGCCAGAGACCCAGGGGAAGCAGGTCAAGACAGACACTTGATGTGCAAGGAGCCCAGGCCCAGCCTACAGCCATTCCAGTGGACTCGGCTTTGGGTCTGGGATCTTAGTGTCTCAGACTTCAGAGGAGAAGCAAAGGGCCCTCAGACCGGCCCATCTCCCCTTTTCAGGGTCCCAGGTCCTAGGCTGGCCCAGCCTCAGGAGGGACCCACACGGATGTGAGGGTTCATGAGTGGGTCCAGGTTGGGATCATTGTCAGCTGCAGCCCGGCCCAGGCGAGACATGAGGGCAAGAAGGGCCAGGAAGCCCAGCAGTCCCAGCAGCAGCAGCAGCCCCGCCCGCTGGAGCAGGGTCAGCGGCCGCTTACGAGACCCGTCCCGGCTCCTGGGGGGACGAGGGGAAAGTCAGATCAGGCCGCAGTCTCTGGTGGCCCTGTGGCCCGGAGAAGAGCCCTGGTCATGACGCTCATCTTCTGGCCCCAGCACCACCATTCCTGAGACTCACTCATTCCCTCAAGTGTGCCATGGGGATGACCATCCCTGTCCCTGCCCACTACAAGGGTGACTGTGCAGCTTGAACCAGCTGAGGCGATGACTGTTCTGGAAACTAGAATGTGTCAGGCATGGGGACAGGCATAGATTGGATGGTGTTGAAGCAGGAAGGGGCCTCAGAGAGCCTGAATCCAAACCTCATATGTAAGGGCCAAGTGAGAGCCCGAGAGGGCAGACCCAAGACTTTTATTGTCAAGCTGAAGCCTCTCTACACAGCCCCAACACCGGGTACCCAGGTCAAGCCCCTTTTGTCATGAAATCATTGTGCCCGGGGCCTCTGGCTCTCACTTCCTTTCCTCCCGCTTCCTGGCATCCGACCCCACGTAACCCGGTACCTGAGCAGCTGGGCCAGCCAGCCCAGGGCAGGCCGGCGACGGTACTTGTCATCGTCGCAATCCCTGTGGAGACCTGGTGCCCGATCATCATCCCGGGTGTCATACACCTTCCTTGGGGCCGAGGCTGCAAGGGCAGAGCCACGAGCATTCACAGGCTCAGGGAAACTGCTCCACTGCAGGGTGCGAGGGGAGGCAGGAGATCCTGGCCCTTCGAAGCCTGACATTATATCTCAGAATTGTGGGTAGGTAACGTCTGTGCTTGGAGTGAGGAAGGGTCCCGCTGGTGGGTCTCTGGGGCCCTGAGCTCCCTCCACCCTATTCCACTCCCCTGGCCCAGACAATCCCCTGGCTCACCATGAGTCAAGGGCTCGGAACTGCCCATGTGGATCACTGTGTGCTGCTCAGGTCGGTTGGGGGGCGCAGGGGGCCGGGGGGCTTGGCTGTAGAAGGCGGGGGCAGTGGAAGCGCTGGCTATCTCTTCTTGTGCCGGGGTACTGGCTGTGGCAGGAAGACAGCTGTCAGCAGAGCAGAGAGGCAAGGGCCCCAACAGTAGGTGGAGACCACCACTCACCATTAAAGCTGGACCAGTCAGAGAAGTCAGCAGTGTTGAGGGGCTCGGGCTCCGGGCTCACCACCTCATCGATCTGGAGGAAGGAACCTGTCTCACCAGGCCGCTCAGTGCTGTCCCCACTCCCTTATTTGGCCCAAGACAGATGGACAGACAGACAGAGGGACTCTCACCAGAGGAAGGCCCAGTCCTGCCCGGGCCCAGTTGACTGTGGTCAGCTTCTCTCTCAGCACAGAGGCCACAGGGCCAACCAGGTTGCTTGGGGGGAAGATGGGGCCACTGCAGCTGGGACACTGGTAGCCAGCAGGCGCTGTATTTCGGGGTAGCTGGGCAGCACGTTCATTGAGGCAGGCCCAATGGAAGAGATCTTAGGGCCCATGAAATAGCAGAGAAGAGGCATGAGGAAGAAGACACTCTAGGCTCCTTGCCTAGCAACAGCCCCCAGCCCACTGCAGGGATCTACACACACATACGTGTAGTCCAGAGCCTCCTCCTTCCCATCCTCACTCTAGGTCCACGTCATCAGTGTTCCCTAAGCCTTCAGCCTTATTGGCTACCACCATCGCACTAAGTCAAAACAGATGCTACAAAGTTCCCCAGCCCACTGCGGCGTGGGTGTGGGTGGGAAGAATTTGCCAATCAACAACAGTTTCAGAAAAGCTTCCTAGACACGCACACAGACACACGTGTGCTTGTACACACCCATGGGCACAAATATACATGGGCTTATAGATACATAATCAAACACAAATGCCATCCTGGTGGCTGTACTTACAGACACATCGACTCACACATACACATCTATACGTTCACTTGTTTGCTAACACTTGAGCGCCCTCACCCACACATTCTCCACAACACACTTGTAGTCATGTTCACACACATTTACCCGCTCACGTGTAAGTACTAATGAACACACTAACACTTATGTAAAGACACCATGCACATAAAATTCATGCACATATATCCACATCCTGACACTAAAAAACACTTAAGTGGAGCTCACTCTTTTGCACTAGCTCCTTCAAAAAGTGGAACTAAGACCAATTGATGTGTCTCCCTCACATCGATGTTTCTCTCTGTCTCTTCCCCTCCACTCTCTAAAAATGAATGGAAAAATATCCTTGGATGAGGCTTAACAACAAAAAAAGTGGAACTAAGACTCTTAGACCAGAGTCAGGTCAATGTCATGAGACGTTTGTTAACTTCTTTCAGCAGACTTTACTGTGGGAAACTCATTTCTTCTCTGTTCAATCTTGGAATCAGCAAAGAATCTTTTTTTTTTTTTTAATCCTCACCTAGCGATTTTTCCATTCATTTTTAAGAGAGTGAGAGGGAGGGAGAATGGGGAGAGAGAGAGAGAAACATTGATGTGAAAGAGACACATTGAGCCCTAGCTGGTTTGGCTCAGTGGATAGAGCGTCAGCCTGTGGACAGAAGGGTCCCAGGTTCGATTCCAGTCAAGGGCACACGCCTGGGGTTGTGGGCTCGATCCCCAGTAGGGGGCGTGCAGGAGGCAGTCAATCAATGATACTCTCTCATCATTGATGTTTCTATCGCTCCCTCTCCCTTCCTCTCTGAAATCAATAAAAAAAAGAGAGAGACATATTGATTGGTTGGCTCCCGCATGCACTCCAACCTGGGCCTGGCATCCAACCTGCAACCAAGGTACATGCCCAAGATGGAATTGAATCCAAGATCCTTCAGTTCTCGGGCCAACACTTTAATCACTGAGCAAAACTGGCCAGGGCTCAGTAATGAATCTTGAATGCCTGAAAGCCCCATGCTGTCAGCTCATGCCTGGCCCGGCCAGCTACTGCTCACAGACACAAACACACCCACAAGTCTGACTGATTTTCCCTCAACCCACAAGACTGGAGGGCTAGCGGCTTTAATTTTTAGGGAGAGACACTGAGGCCTAGGAAGGGGAAATGACTTGCCTTAGTAAACACAACATGTAAGTAACCCAGCAAGACTGGAAGCTCGGGCTCCAACCTCCTTAGCGAGGCAGTCTCACTGCCCTGCTGTTTGCGGAGGGCATGGAAGCCAGCCACCAAGCTGGGCCTGTCCTGAAACCCCCAGGACTCACCATAACAGACAAGGCGGGTCGTCTCTCGCGAGGCCAGGGGTGTGTTGCACAGGCGGCAATTGGGACTGTAGTCGCTATCTTGAAGCCACTGCAGGTAAGACTGTACGATGCACTGGAGTGGGAGAGAGAGGTCAAAACTTAGCAGGGGCTCCACAACCCAGCTACCTGAGACCCAGTGGTCTATCTCTCATCGCAAAGGCTTCTTTCGTTTGTTCAGTCAGTAAAGGTTTACTGAGCACATACTGTGTGCCAGACTATGTCTTTAGGACTAGGGGGATAGCAACGAATCAAATGAAGTCCTTGCCCTCGTGGAGCTTCCATTCTAGCGCCTGGCCCCTCATGGATTTGGAAGAAGCCAATACTACCTGCCCTCCCAGTGCCCTGCTCAGCCGCTCTTTTCAAGGCCCCACCTTGGCGTGATTGGCGACCAGGCAGTGCTCGCAGACGTTGACCCGGTGTTCGAAGCAGAATAGGTTTGTCACCTTCCTCTTGGGGCACTTGCAAAGGCCCATGGTCCACCCTGAAGAAGGGGTCTGAGTTGGTAGGGAGCCAGGTTCTGGTGTCCGTCACTTAGGCACTCACCAGCCAAGTTCGTTTCTACTTCCCTGGACACTCTCAAGTTGGTGCGAGCCCCAATTTCCGGCCCGGCGCCCCTCTTCACTCCGGACCACGCCCCCACCATAAATCCCTCCTCCGAAGACCCCCCCCTCATTCCTCCTGAATCCCGCCAGGCCAGGCTCCTCCATCGGCGCCCCTCCGATATCCCCGGCCCCGCCCCCAGGGGCGCCTCCTGGGTCCCACCCCTCCAGGCCCCGCCCCCCTTTCTCCAAACCGCCCCCCTCCCCACAGACCCCACTCTCAGTGTTACTGATGCACCGCGGCACCGGTCCCGGCGAGCAGAAGCGCTGGTCCGAGGGGGAGACACCGCGCCCCGTCGACCTCGGGCTCAGCTCTTTCCAGCGCCGGCCGCCCCGACTATCCCTCCGCTGCCACGTCTCTTCCGGGTGCGGCGCGGGATGATGACGCCAGCACGCCACTGGCCCCGCCCCTGAGACGCTTTACGTGGTGACGGGAAGAGACGCGGAGAGCGGACC